TCCTCCCAAACCCTGTTCTGCCATCCATTTACTCAATCCCATCTAGTTTGTTATGCACTGCTTTCCTCTTTTGCTTGAGTATCAGATTTTCCAAACCCTCCTTCCTCATTACATGCCCCAGAAATATCAACTGCTTCTTCCTGATGTTCAGTATAAGTTGCCTCTTTATTTCCATTCTCTCCAAAACCATGTTGTTGTTCACATGTTTGGTCCATGCTATCCTCAGTGTGTTTCTGTAGAACCACATTTCTGTTGCTTCAAGTCTTTTTCCTAATCTTTTGAAGAGATTGTCCAGCATTCTGCTGCCCTACAGGGGGGGACAGATATAGCAGTTCAGTACTCTTCTTTGTTTCTAATGAAATTTCACTGTCTCTTAATACTTTGCTTAGCTTTTGGAATATATCTTTTGGCCATCCCAATACGTCTTCGGATCTCAGTGTTGCACTTTCTGTTCTCTGTCAGAACACTTCCTAGATATTTAAATTTCTGTACCTTCTTGATTTTAGTATCCCTGACTTGTAATATTCATTTTGGGCTCATCCTTTGCTGATAACCATGCATTCTGTCTTCTTGTAGTTTATGCTTAGTTCTTTTCTTCTTGCTTTCCTTTGCTACCTTCTGTAGGAGGTTTTGGTTAGTTTCTATTGGAAGAACTTTTATAAAGAAAAAAGAAATGATGTTGACTTGGCAGAAAGAGGTGCCATTACAAATGTTGGTATTCTTTTGTTACTCTCATTTACTTATCGGAAAAAAAAAACAATTCTCCACCACCTCTCCTGTCACTACCAATACTGATACTCATTTGGCTGATTAGCATTTTCTGTGGCTCTTCATTTGATATGAAATAGTTGTTTCATGTTTTCTAAATGCTTACTTAACCTTTTCTGTTTGAGTAAATAAATCTGGAAAAATGAATGGGGTGCTGAAAAGAAGGACATCAAGCCCTGAAATGTACATGTTATTACATATACTCAACATATTTGACACATATTTATCAGGTTCTTTAACCTTTCTGAAGAATTCTGGTCATTGTTACTCTCATTTACTTAAAGGGAAACATTTTTTTTCTGGCTCAAATCACAAAAGAACCAATCAGAAATAAGTAATTACGCGGGAGCCGAATGATTATTCAAGGTCATGAATATTTAAGAAATTTATTCATGTTTATTCAAAGTCAATTATTCCTGAAACATAAAACAGTGATAATAAATTTAACGCTTTTTTACAGGGCGGCCTGTATAATAACAGGTGATGAAAAGTGGGTTATACAAGACAATGTTCAAGGCAAAAGACGATAAAGGATAAAATTCCACAACCCACTCCGGAAAAGAAAGACAATGCTAGGTGTGTGCCGGAGTATTATTCATTTAGAGTTCTTAAAGTGCAATAAAACTAAATGCACATTTACACGCCCAGAAGCTGAAACATGTCTGTAGAAGTTGGGCTGAAAAACCCTGCGTTCGTCAATAGGTAAAGTGTTGTTCAACGCCATGTCAAAGTAAAGACACATCCAGCAAATTTGGGAACTCGGTTGGCCTGTTCTACCCACACCTATCATATTCAACTGGCTCTGCACCAACCGATTATAATCCTTTTCGATCTAAAACGTTTTGGGGAGTAAAGCTTTCTCAAATGAAAGACAAATTCAAGAGTTTTAAAATCTTTCATATAATCTGAATAAGTCAAAAGAAGTGTCGAAACAAAATTATTATCAAGCAAGTACTATTAGTGTGAGTGATATTCGAAGGCGTCTGACACCAGTATTGTTCAACGGCGTTACTATAGTTGTATCTGCGATTACAAAGTCTCTACTACAACGAGCATTACAAAAGTGACAACGAGTATTCGTTGACATTACATAAGTGGTAATGAGTATTCGTTGGAATCACAAAAATTTGGAAGAAAAGCACATGGTTCAAACATTCGACATTCTTAAGTCATCAGTTTAGATAGAGGCAGTTGGTGAGTTTCATAAAGCTAGTGAATGTTGTGACGTGTGTGCTTTTTTTAATTTATTATATATATTTTAAGATGCAGGTTCTTGGGAAGGATCATTCGTAATCTGGAAAAGTCGATCATTAACTTTAATAGACGCAAAAAGTCAGTCCTTTTTAATATTTGTCTTAATGAACATTTGTGGTCTAAATACACCGTGTATAGGTTGATCACTTTGGAAGAAATGGGATTTGTAGGCTACTGCTGATTAATGCTAAAAGCTCTTCGCTATAAATTCAGCCCACTGTATATATATATATATATATATATATATATATATATATATATATATATATATATGTGTGTGTGTGTATATACATATATGTGTGTATGTGTGTGTATATATATGTGTGTGTGTGTGTATATATATATATGTGTGTGTGTATATATATATATATATATATATATATATGTGTGTGTGTAAGAAAAAAATGGAAAAGGTTTATTTGTAATGTTTCATCCAATCGGGTTTGTTGACGTTGATTTTTTCATTTTGTTTTATAAGTTCCTGAATACTGTTCATATATATATATATATATATATATATATATATATATATATAATTTGATTTAAATGAAAGACAATTTTTTTAATATATAATTTATTTTAAAATTATAACATAAATATATTATAAAATCACTACACACACACACACACACACACACACACATATATATATATATAGTAAGAAATATAGTTTTAAGGTTTGCTATATTTATGGGATAACGTGCTAAATATCAGAGATAGAGCGTATCTCTAACAATTGCAATTAGCATAAAACAGCCTGTCGCCTCTGAGTGTTTACTTCCATGTTCACTTTATATATATATATATATATATATATATATATATATATATATATATCATTTATTCGAAAATTATAGCATAAATATGTTAGAAAATAACTACAAAAATAGTCATTTTGTTTCGACATCTCTGGTGTCTTATCAAGAGATGGTGTTGAAAATATATATATATATATATATATATATCTTACTTATAAAACGCAGATTGTGTGTGTGTGTCTGTAACGTTTATATATTGCATCGGATTTCCTACATTTTTCTACCGATTTCAACAAAACTTCACAGGACTACATAAAATTACCTTGCGGTGGTTCTAACAGCACCAAAAATGGGAAAAATACAATTGTTTTTGCACAAAATCAATTTGAAAACACGATTAAGAGACATCGTGTGAATGAAAGAGGGACAACTCACATAGGGTTAAAAACCCAGGTTGTTTGTGTGTGTGTATTCCTTTATATATGGGATCGGATTTCCTACATTTTTTAGCCGATAAAACAAAAATTCACTTTTTTTTGGCAGGTAGTGTTTCTTATTCTCTTGCACACATTTTTCTTTATTTTTAATATTCAGAATGCTTTAAAAATTCCATTTACAAGACAATTGTTTATAATAAAATTCTATTCATTCGGTAGAGACTCATAACGATTGAAAACAATGTTTTTGTTTGAGTTTGGGTTTGACCAATTCGTAAAAAAAAAAAAATAATTAAGACATGCGTGTCCGTCAACCTTAAATAATAATCTACCGATCTCTACTGATTGTGCGAATCCAAACATCGGATAATTCTTTATCTTTAGGGAAAGATAATGAAATCTAAACATACGCAAGTCCTCCTAACTAAAAATAATAACCGGAAACTACTTTAAATACACATGGTGTCCAATTTTTTTTACTGTATTCAATAAGTAAAAATCATAAATTGTAAAAGATTATTATTACAGAAAGGCTACTAAATGAATAAGATTTGTTAGATCATAATTAATAAACCCAAATAAAGTTAATATTTTTGTGTTAGAAACAACGAGTGGAAAATATATTCAAATCAGAATTCTAATTATGAATCACCACAAGCAAAATATGCAATTTTTTTTTACTGTATTCAATAAGTAAAAATCATAAATTGTAAAACTAAAAGATTACAGAAAGGCTACCTACATTTTTCAACCGATTTCAACAAAACTTCACTTTTTTTTTTTTGGCATGTAGTGTTTCTTATTGTCTTGCACACTTTTTTTCTTTATTTTACATTCAGAATGCTTTAAAAATTCTATTTACAAGACAATTGTTTATAATAAAATTCTATTCAATCGGTAGAGACTGAAAACAATGTTTTTGTTTGAGTTTGGGTTTGACCAATTCGTAAAAAAAAAAAAAAATAATTGACATGCGTGTCCGTCAACCTTAAACAATAATCTTTGCCAATTTTATTTTTCAATCTTTATGATGGTGGATACTTGATCTATCTCTTACTGTTATATCCCCGGGTAACGCCGGGCTCTACTGCTAGTATATAATATTAGTGGTTAATATATACATACATATGCAATCATATCTAAAGTATATATACATACATTCATACACATACATATATATATATATATGTATAAAAAATAATTCCAAGAGGATAGAATCCAGGTAGAACTCAATGTCCAGGACAGAGTAAGGATATAATAAAAAGGCTTAAACACTAATATTCCATGGTCATAATTTATTCCATTGGAATCGTAAATACGATCCAATTCACCAGACCTACAAATTCAAAAAGAAAACAGAAAAAACAACTCCGGGAATAAAAAATAAAATTTAGAGAGAGTGTATGTATGTGAGTGTGGGACGAATATGAAAGCTATAGGGAGGGGTAACAGACGAGAGAAGAACAGGAAGGTCTGAAGATCAAGGGGGGATTAAAATTTAACAGAGAGAAGTTTTAAAGAGGGGAGCCAAAGACGCTTTAAGTGAAAAAATATGAATATTCTCAGATGTCTAATAAAATAAGGATTTAACGGAAAATATACATTTTGTGATGACACACACACAATAGACGTTATAATCTTAAAGATCAGAAGATGAGAGAGGGAGAGGAAAAGAAAAGAAAAAGGAGTGGGGGGAGAGAGATGGTGTTGAATATATATATATATATATATATATATATATATATATATATATATGATAGAAAGATAGGAAAATCGATCTTACCCTGTAGTACTCGTCTGTAGGCGTGACACGTTTTTCTTCGTTTCAGGTCTGTACAAAAAATAGATAAATAAATGAATAAATAAACAAATGTGTGTACTGTGTGTCTATTAGTAGTAATTGGTAGATTTATTAGATATTTTTTTATCAAGACATTACGTTCTCCACTAAATGTATCAGTACGGTTTTTAAACTCATTTAATAAATAGTGACCAGTATATGTCCGAAATAGTTGCACAACATATTCGCGACAGTTATCAAGGATCGAGAACTTAAAGCTAGGATTTCGAATGAGGATTTTCAAGTAAGCAATTCTTACAAATACCATTAGTAAATAAAATAATATTAAAAAATAATTGTTCTCTTAAAATTTTATGATCATATATAATATATTTTGGCTTGGGAAAGGAGCGTTTATTTTAAATAAAATGCCCATGGCGTAACTTAACATTCTAGCAAGTACCAATTATTGCACCTTCAAGAACTATTCGTCTAAGTTGTTTTCTCTCTTAGGAACTACAGCTTTTTTGAGGTTAAAATTATCTCAGTATAAGGGATACATTAGACAGATTATGTCGAGGATCTTATATTCATGTCTTTTTATTTCCGCGCAATAATTTCTTGTTTCTTAAGCCAAAATATCTGTATGTATATTGTAATTAGTATTGATGAAGTGTATCGCTAACATTTGCTGTCGAAATTAAAAAACCTCTACGTTTCGTTCAATTTCGCAAACCAGTTGATGAAATTTGAATATGCTGATTTGTTTGGAAAAATACTTTGATAAAAACACTACTTCATGGTTTAATAATTTCTTTAATTGAATTTAATAACTTTAAAAATACAGTTTAATACTTTCATTAATTGAATTTAATTTTAAAGAACTTCAAGGTAAACAATATTTTTTAAGAAAAATTCTTTTTTTTCCTTCCTCTTTTTAACTACGAAGAATAATTTCTTAGGATTTCTTACTCTTGAGCATGCAGCATACAACTGACCATGAGTAAAAAATATCTCTGGAACAAAATTACAAGTTTTTGAAGCGTTTGGAGTTGTGATTTTTTTTATAGTTCTCACAATCGCAGGGCAAAATGTAAACTGGTTTTGTACTATATATATATATATATATATATATATATATATTTGTGTATCTAGGCAGTAAATTATCTTTTAGGCATGTCTGATTGAATAAATTGCAGACATCTAATTTTTAACAAAATTCGTTTATACTCACGAAATACCTTCCGTGTATTGATGCTAAAAGATGAGAGAACTGTACTATAGCTGTTTAAATTTCTTCTATTTTCGTTTCTCAAATACTTTCGATCTTCTTCGAAGATCATCTTCAGGGGTGCAAGTAGTACAAAACTATATGTTGTTCATTAATATAACTATTTATACAAAGTTGTGCGTTGTTATCCATTACCGTAATTTTTTCATTATGCTTTTAAATGCAAAACAGTTGACAATATGCTGTGAGTTCATTAGAACGTGAAAACATTAATCATTATGGAACTTTTTTATGTCATAATGCCATGGTCAGGCGCGCATTAAAGCGTGAAAAAACTGTTCCTTTACAGGCATTTCAGAACATTACTGCAGTATTTATAGTTGATTCTGTTCAGTGTCGGCTTTAATTGTTTTAATATAAATTACTTCTAGTATGTATAGTCATATATAAACTTAAAGAACAGATATGCAAACAATATTGTCTTTTTATTAAATAAGTATTTGTTATTTTAATCATTAAATTGTTTTTGAATAGTTGGAGCATTTTGTATGTTAAATAATAAAACTTTTAATTTTTCCAAACAATTAATAATAATTTATTGTACTAAGTTACGCACCTGAGTAAAACCAACTGTACTTTATACTCCCTTATCTGTTTGCATTTCTTCCCAAAATTTAGTTTCAATTGGTCAATGTATGGTTATTTTAGAGGGTGCGTCGGACGGAGTAACGGAAATGAAAGAATGTTATATATAGATGACCATAAAATTAAAAGAAAAAGGTGAAATTCTGTTCCTTAAAAATGAAATTTAAAATAAAGAGAAAAGTCTCAAAAGCAGCATTAATCCAGTTTCATTTAATAAGCAAAAAGCTTCCATAGTCTACCTTTCTTTTACGCAGTAAAGTTTTAAACTATTTTTAGAGCGTTCGATAGTTTAAAATTTGAACGCTTAACATTTTTCTCTGCCTTACAAGAGCGTCAAAGCGGCTCATACTGCGCAGGAACGCCCACACATCGGGCCTTCAGCAATCGCGGCTCCATCATAAAACAAAAATCATGGCCTTCCGGGCCGGGGTCCTCTTCAACATTCTGTACGCTTGTGAGGCTTGGACTATGTATCGTCGGGACATCAAACGTCTAGAACGGTCCTAGAAAACGAAGCTCCAAAGAATCCTTCGCATCAGTTGGGAGGACCGCATCACTAGCACCGAGGCTACCATCCTTGAGCGTTATGCTCAAGGATGGTAGCCTTGGTACTGGTTTGGGTCAGGTGTCTAGAATGCGTCTCAATCGCAACTCCCACGTATTAGTCAGTTTGGAGAACTCGGCAGCGCCAAGAGGCTAGGCGGAAACCCAAAACGATGCTTCAAGGATTAGTTGAAAACATCTCTGACACATGCCAACATCGACGCTGAAAACTTTAATGAAACCTTTTTTTTTCATTTTATTGGGGAAAATATATGACAAAGTGGAAAAAGTTTTAAAAAATGTGGAAAAAAATTAAAATTCCAGGCATCCCTCATTTATGTGCATATGTAGTCATACAAACATTAAATTTACTCTGAGGAAGTTCTAAAGTAGGAAATGCAAAATGCATCCCAAAACTTTTTTACATTATCATACATTTCCCCCCACCCAATATTGTCCTTGATTTATTTATTTATATATATATATATATATATATATATATATATATATATGCAATTTTTATATTATTTATATACCATATATGTGCGGTACTTATTGAAAGTGCTCAATATCAGTAGGCATTTCTTTGTAATATTGTTGTAGGCAGGTGCATTTTTCAAATGCCTACTTTGCCTACACGAAAAGGTAGCAATAATTTCTCACACACGACAAAAGTAATTACTAAACATAAGATCTGAAATAATTTTTAAATGCAGACATGAAAACAAATACCTATTATCACAATTTATACCAAATGGATATATATATATATATATATATATATATATATATATATATATATATAAATAATTAACTGATTTAAAATAAGTTTTTTTTCCGCTACACAGTAATAACCACGTTTCAAAAATGGAAGCTAAAATCTTCAAATTTAATTTTGCAATTAAATTATTGGATTCCAATATTCGCTTGAAGATGAAATGGAACTAATGATTTTAATTTAATTACAAAATTAAATTGGTTATTACTGTGTAGCTGAAAACTATATTTTAAATCAGTTAATTTATAATATTTATGCTCTGTAAATTTACACTGAGCACTGTTTTGTAAAAATAAGAAAAATATCAATAAGAACACCGGATTATATATCTTACTGTTCTTTCTTTATATATATATATATATATATATATATATATATATATATATATATCACTTATACACACATCCACACGAATATACACACTTACACACATCATACCCACTCACTCCCTAATGAGTCAAATGATACACACACACATTTAACAGAGACATCTTTCCAGGAATTCAGAGCAGCATGAACCCATCCAGCTCTTATCTCAAATAACAACTTAAAAGAGACTGTTTGACCAATACAAGGACTGACCAAAATTCATATAAAAAAATAAAAAACGAATGAAAACTACAGACAAAAGTTCATTTTCTCCATCAAGACATTCATTTCTGTAGTTCACTGCTACCAGCAAGCAAAAAATTATTTTTCTCCTGATGATGACCATATTGGCCGAAACTCGTCGAGGAATCTAAATGAAATAATAATAAAAACGAAGGAATATTAATATACAACCCAGTGTGTCTGAAGATTTTAATTTTGTAATATTTTTTATTGCTCAATATATATATATAAAGTGATCAATATCCGTAGGCATTTCTTTGTAATGTTGTTGTAGACAGGTGCGTTGCTATAAATTGTCCTTCCTGGCGTAGGACCGTCCGACTGAGAGTGGGGCCCAATATTTTCGGGTGTAACCGTTAACATGAAGAGGAACAAACCCCACTATGAATCCTGCTCACGACTCTTCAACAGTAGGCTGTGCCTTCACAGGCATCTCTGCCATCTCCACCAGAGGAAAGGAAAGGAATAAGAAGAGAGGATGACGATCCAGATGATCGGATGCGAGTGTGTGGCGACCACGATTTCCGTCTATAAATGCAGGTTACTAAATAAAAGTTTCTCCGGATAAAGGTTTTTTTTGCATTCGACCCTTCTTTCTTTAGTCGATATTCTGAAAGATTCTGTCAGCATAGGTACTTAAATTTTGTTTTGGAATTTGCCAAGACGAACATTTTAATCTCGGAATTGTGTTAGTTAAAGGAGTCAGCATATATACTAGGACACAAAAATTTCCTGAGCCGACCAAGCATAGAAATGAATACAGTATGGGAACCAGTAATAAGGAGGGATAGAGAAAAGCGATAATAACAACAAAAATGCAATATAAGCTCTGGTAAAAACATGTAAAGATAACAGTAAAAATTGCAATATGAGCACTGGTAAAAAATGATTGCTGAAGACATTAGGTTTATAATACCCAGAAATTCATACATAGATGGCTTCAAAGGTACATGGCACAGTGGATAAAGGCGTTAGTTAGATCCAGTGACAGGACCCAATAGTGTGAGTTCAATACCCGGTTAAGGCAGTGGAGAATTTTCAGAGAGGAATAACTGATATTTATTAGACATGGCACGTGGAATTAAAACAGAGTTCTATAACATTCCAACCATCTGAAGAAAGCCGGAGCGTACAACAGCCGAAACATTGTAATAAATATGAGGACAGAAGTCTGGATAATGGAAAATAATTTTTTTTAACCAAATTTTCTTTTCTCACCTCCGGCTTGAACTCTCTACTATA